AAGAGCAAATAATGATTAACAACAAACAGAGCAATTACTTTTTAAAGGAATAATATATGTATAATTTGAATCCTAGAAGTGTAAGAATAAACTATAGAACAGAATAAATATTTGGACTAATAATGAACATGGAATTTCTAAAAATTAATGGCAAATACAAAATCAGTAATGCAGGAAAAACCAAGCAGACTACATAACAAAATCATTACTCTTAGGCATATCATATTGAAAGTACAGAAAAATATACAAATAGAAAATCTTGAAAGGACACAGAGGAAACACATCTATGGTGGATTCAGATAAGAATCAGAGTGAACTTTTTGTGCAAAACCATCCAAGTAATAAAAATGGAGTGGAACACCAAAAGCAATGAAAATAATGAAATATAAATATGTTTCCATATTTGCAAAATTTGTTTATTATCAGCTAAGGGCAGTTGCACAAAAAATAAATGGTATAACATTTATACTAAATACATCCTGGTACATAAAGTCTTATACAATGACAATGTCTTCAAGAGTACCAACTAATTTACTTTCCATTAAATTTAGTGTTTCTGTTTTAATATTTAGATCTTTAATCCACTTGGATTTTAATTTAGTACGTGGCAAAAGATGGAGATCTAGTCTTAATCTTTAGCAAGCTAAAAGCCAGTCTTCCTACACCATTTATAAAAGAGGCTATCTTCCTCCAGTGAGGATGGTTAGCTCCTTTGTCAAGGAGGGGGTAACCAAGTATGTCTGGTGTTTTTTCTGTATCTTCTAATCTATTCCATTGATCCTTGGGCCTGTTTCTTTGCCAGTACCATGCTGTTTTTATCACAGTGTCTTTGTAGTATAGTTTCAAGTTGGGAAATATGTCTCTGTTGCCTAGGATGGGGTTTGCTATTCTAGGTCTCTTCTGGTTCCAAACAAATTGTTGCATTGTTTTCTCAAGTTCTGTGAAATATACTGTTGGGATTTCAATCGGGATTGCATTGAATCTGTATAGAAGTTTTGGAAGTATGGCCATTTTCACTGTGTTGATTCTTCCTACCCAGGAGAAAGGGATGTCTTTCCATCTTCTTATATCCACAAATCCTCAGCAGCATGAGAACTTGCACAAAGAATCAACAACTGGGATCTCATTGTATTAAAAAAATTTGCAGTGAAAGAGAAAACACCAACAAAGCTAAGAGACAACCTACAATGTGGGAAAAAAAGTTTTACCAGCTTCTCCCCAAAGAACTACTATCTAGAATACATAAAGAACTAAAAAAAATCATACTCCCCAAATACAAAAACCTGATTTAAAAATGGGCATCTGAAATGAACAGACATTACTCAGACAAAGAAGTAAAAGCAGCAAATAAATATAGGAAAAAATGTTCAACATCACTGGTCATTCGAGAGATGCAGATGAAAACAACACTGAGATTCCACCTCACCCCACAAAGAATGGCTGCTATCAAGAAATCACACAATAACAAATGTTGGCGGGGTTGTGGGGAGAAAGGAACTTTTCTTCATTGTTGGTAGGAGTGCAGACTGGTGTAACCACTGTGGAAATCAATATGGAGATAGATACCTCAAATAACTAGGATTAGAGATTCCATTTGACCCAGCTATCCCACTGCTGGCTATCTTTCTAAAAGAATTAAAAGAATCGCACCATAGTGATATATGTGCACCCATGTTTATAGCAGCACAGATTGCAATAGCTAAAACTTGGAAACAACCCATATGCCCATCAACTGGAAACTGGATAAAGAAGATGTGGTTTTTCTATAAAATGGAATACTACTCAGCTATAAAGAATGATAAACTAGAAACATCTAGAGCTATACTCTTTTTTTTTTTTTTTACTTTTGCTTCCAGGGATTGAACTCTGGTTCTTGCTTTTGTGAGGCAGGCGATGAAAACACTGAGATAATTCCCTGGCCCAAGGCTATGCTCCTAATTGAAATAAACAGGGCACACTTAAGTAAATACCGAATAATTTCTCTGGTGTGAAAAACTAGAAGTGTAAATGAGGTTCAAACGTTGTAATTGAGAGTGTGAAATGGGAAGAAAATGGCTAAAGGGAAATGGGAGGGGGAAGGGAAAGGAATTAAGGGAAAAGAAAAAATGTGAAAAATGAAAAAAATTGAAACAAAGTCTTTGTAAATAGGGAAGGGTGAAGGGGGTGAAGGGAGGGCAGAGGTATGGGGAAAAACAAGAACCAAGACATATCATGTAAAGGTACAAGTTCCCAGTGATGAATGTAACCATATTGCTTGCTTTAAATGTACCAATAAACTTAATGAAAAACAAAACAAAAAACCCAAAAATACCCCCCAAAATAAATACAACACGGTAGTCATGTATTAAAGATACGATGGAGTGGTATAACGTGTTCCAGGAACTTTAAATATCACATGGTTTCTCTTATACGGGAAACTCAATGTATAAATATAGGACAAAAGCAGGGATAGATAATAGGAAGTAGGGGATAGATCCTTTTAAATGGGAAGGAGATCAAGAGTAAGAACGAGGGTGGAGAGAGGAAGAGACAGGGGATAAGAAAAGTAAGTTGTGCTATGTACATACAGCAACTTTAAATAAGGAATGTTAAATTATGTACTACACACATGTACCAATTTGAAATAAAGGCAAAAAAGAATGGTTGTATATGTTGGCTACAGTAAAAGTAAATGCGGTATGCTATCATACCAGTTAATGCAATGCTATGAATAGTCATTCGTTCTCAATACACTTGTTGTTAATCGTAAATGCATTTATTACATCGTACTTTTAATTCTAGGACATGCAATTTTCCATTCATTCAACATTTCATATACCCTCAAATTTTACATTGTAATTCATTAGCTCAAATCAGTGTTCCCAGTAGGGCTACTTATAATAAAAGTATTCCTAATAATAAGTTTAATAAAAACTTTTATTAAATTTTCACTATGTCAAGATTTAAATATTCTTCATTTCCACATGATTAATTGAAATTTATTTATTTATTTATTTATTGAGACAGGGTCTCACTATGTAGTTGAGACTGACCAGGAACTCACTATGTAGCCCAGGCTGGTCTCGAACTCACAGTGATCCTCCTGCCTCAGCCTTCCGAGTGCTGGGATTACAGGCATGCTAAAATATTTTTAGACAAATAAAGTTTAGGAAAATATAGTAGACCTGAAAAGCATTTAGGAGAATAGAGTTCTCTTCTTCGTTCTATGAAACAGACCTATACAAGTTGTTTTACTGTTTAGGACCAAGTCTCCTATTTCCTTATTGCTAATAGTGGCTTAGAATCTTAGAATTCCTAGAAATGGGAAAGATGTGCTTATCAAAGATGAATTCTACATTCTGAAGAATAAAATTTAGAAGTGTTTACTATTTATATTCAGAATATATCTCTTCAATTTATATTTTTACATTTCTTTTTTTCTCAATACATGCTGTTTGGCAAAAATAATGCAGTATATATTGAGAGCTAAAAAGAGTTATAGACAATAATTTCAATATTATTTTATAGGCAGACATATTTTCCATTGACTCATTAAAATATTGGGAGGTAAAGAGATGATTTTTTTTTTTTTTTTTTTTTAGGTAGAACTACTGAGCTAAATCCCTGGCCAAAAGTGATACAATGTTAGTTTGAGTTTTCTAAACAGAGACCTGTTATATACAGTAAAACTGAAAACCAAATGACTGTAAACTAAATATGCCTCTGAAAGTTACACAATACATATCAGAGACTAAATATGTTTGCTGTTCAAGTCTATCTTATATTGCAAGCTTTAGTTGACAACTGTGTCTAATATTTGTCAAAAGCAGTACTCAAGAGTATCTTAATTATTCAAATAAAATTTCTTTCTACCAGAATAACTATATTCATCAAAAGAATTCTGGGAAACCAATGTAGCTTTAAGTGAACAGATATAACTTTGAAATTTAAAAGTAATCAACCATTACAAACTTTATGTGATTACCACAAAACATTTTTCATGTAGAAGAAAATCAGTTCATGTCAATGAACAAATAAACACCTTTTTAATGTGTTTCAAATACTTAATGTTCTTTTTGTACTTTTCTATACATATTTCACACATATGACCATACAAGAAAAGTCTTCAAGAATCTCACTTAATAAGGAAATGTGAATAACATCTTTAAATATTCTAATGTTGCTCTTATTTTCTCTCTTTATCTTGTGGAAGCATAGAGAAGTGTCTTTACTATAAAAAGTATGAGTATAATTTTCTATGAGAAAAATGATAAATGCTTGTAGGTAATATTACGCTTTGCAAATTTTTAAAAATACATATTAATTTACCTCATTCAGTTTTTGCACAAACTTTATGAAATAAGGTAAATTTTATCATCATCAGTATATACTTGAAATTAATATTCTGTTAATTAATACGATTCTATTAAGGTCATGTTACTGGAAACCTGGAGATTCAAGGTTATGGGCAGAGTTCTGAATCTTGTTCTCATGTTTTTCCAACTTAACAAACTGATATAGGAGTGACCCTATCATCACATCTCACCTAATTATGTGATGATGGCACCTGAAATTATGCTATTTTCAAGAGTATAAGATCATAAATGTCAGATTCATAGAAGGATACATGAATAGAAGAAAAATGATTAATTTGAAGCAAGGTAGAGACAAATATGTAAATTTCATACGTTCTATTTCATCACTCTAGAAAATATTTCCATTAATGCTGCACTACAAAATATAAGCATCATTTATTAAAACAGTAAAGTCATTATTTTAAGTACTTTCAAAAGCTCACAGTTCTATAAGTCCCTACACATACTCTTTTTTACTTTGCAGGTGCATTTCAGAACAAGATGATTTAAAGGCCTGGAAGAATAAACTTCACCTGTAGGATTCCACTTAGCATTTGGTTGAGTGCTTCTATTGTACTGTAGATTAAGAAAATCAATAAGCAGCAGAGGAACTAATGAAATATTAGTTTCATTATTGCAAATGGAGTATTGAAGACTTTTGATTACCTGTAACGGTTAATTCTGTAGTTCTTCTCACGACAAAGCCTCCGTATTTTAATTCACATGTATAATTTCCAATGTCGTCTTCCCTGACTTCTCTTATAAGCAAGGTATCTCTTTTGAATACAATACTGTGCCTCCAACTTTTTGTTCTACATTCCTATATGAAGAGCAGAAAATTTGGGTAGCACATAGAATAACTGAAAAATAAAGTTTTTTAATTGTTAAGAACTGTGCTATATTTGAAAGATACTAAATAAATTGAAAAGTAATGCTAAATAATTTTATTCCATTTTCAAATCTCTATGAAATTAAGTATCTCAATCAGAAAAGAGCATTTTTAGAGAAAGTCATGCTCTTAAATTCCACAATTACTAATTCTATATCAGTTATGTATTAATTTATTTGAAATAAGAAGATACATTTTTGTCATTGCTAACATCATTCTTAAAAGCGGATAATTTGATTATTTTGAACTTAATCATACTGATACTAGTAGCGTAAAATACCAAATATTTGAAAGAATGTAGAAAATTAGTTCTGGAAAATGCTTCCCTTTCAATATTTGAAATATCTTAATGTTGCATTTAGTAGAAATTAAAACTCTTCATAACATGTATATGCTATAATCTAGGAAAGAAGTACTCAACATTTGTATGCAAGGCCTTTACAGTCCCATAAATCTCTATTTTCATTGTTGATAGACCTTCCAAATTAAGGCCTCTGAATTAAGCTTTGGATTATAATGACATTGGCTCAAGAGGTTTATGTTTTTGCCAAAACAGAAGTCCATATCCTCCAGCCAGATTTGAAATCAATGGAATGAAGATAAAATAGCTTTAAACCCTTTGACCCTATTGAGAGATAATAATATTTCTAAAAATTTTTATTGCCAAATCAAAATTTTGCAGACCATGGTTTTATATGGCTCAATGCCTTTGTGTAATTGAGTGGGGCAATTATCCAGTTATTTCAGACAAAAACACATTTTATTTTCCCATTTCAGTTGCCTAAAGTATCCTAATTATATAAATTGTACAATGGATATATAGAATCTATAGTTAGCCAAACAATTTGCTAATATTCTCCTTTAAAATTAGCCTTTAAATCTCAGCTATTTTGACTATAGAGATTCAATCTTGGCTATGGAAAAATAGTCTGAAATTCCATAAGACTTTTAAGTTCAAATATACCATATGTCCACACACCATTCCATGAGTGATGGTCTTTCTAGCTAAAGGTCAAAAGGATTGTGGTGATGGTAAAAATAGAACTTACAACTCCATGGGAAGACAGCCATTGCTAAAACTGGATATGTGTGGTGAGAGGGATCTCTCATCTTTCAGCAAATTTTGAGAAGCTCTTTGCAAAAGTTTAGAAAAGATATGCATCTTTTAAAACCATCTTATCAGTGAAAAACAAAGAAATTGTATATCTACAAGCTAAATGTTGACGTGTAAGAAATGAGAACTATTTGCTTTTGGAGACCCTGGGTCCAGTTCTTCTAATAGCACTCCCCTTTGGAGCAATCACCAATGCTAGCTCAAAGGCTGCTTGTTCAAGACAGGCAAACTGCAGAAACCGGTGGCACTACTATTTGAGTGCTGTTTTAGTATCATCTAGAATAGAAAACCCAGAGAAAAATAAAAAAAAAATATTCAAGTTTTGCTGATGTTTTGAACTTTCTATTGCTTAATACTAAGACTCAAAATTAAATTGTAGTTAGAGAAAGGCACTGATAATTTTGAAAAATCCTCGACAAATGTTCAAGTCTTTTTCTTTTTTTTATTTCTAATACTTTTTGCATTCATGAACAATCAATTCTAAGGACTCATCTGATTCTGATGTCTTGGAATCTAGTTACTGAGAAACCCAGTTTCCTAAACTCATACTTCCAGCAAGCTAGAAAAGGCATTTTAACCAGAGGAATCTTTAGTCTATGGGATAAAACACTTCACAGAAATGTTAACAGTATTTATATACTATTTTTACAGTTCATTCAAAAATAAAAACAAAAACATTGTTATATGGTGTAAAAATGCTTAACAGTACAATCAATTGTGGGGTTCAGTAACCGTCAATAATGTAATGGATCAAAGAGGTGTGATCGTTCCCTTTAAAGATGCCTTTATGCTTTTTGAAGACAATAATTCAAGTGCTATCTTTATAAGAGCTTATTTCTTTAAAATAAATACCTTTATATATGACAAAGATTGTAATATGGACAGTTATGTACACAAAATGAAAAAGTTCATTAGAACCAGTGTGCCATTTTATCACAAAAGAAAGCCAAGCCTTTTTCTCCTCATTTGGGCACATTTTGGAACGCTAATATGTAAAGCACTAAAATGAATGTTCAGTGCATTTGAATTTCTGAAAGCATCAACCTACACTATCACAGACTTTAAAAAATGGTTGATATAATCAAAATATTTAATAATATTTGCTCATATTTGAAAATATATGTTGATTAGCACAACTAGCTATACTATTCTTGGAAAGTAGAACCGAACTGTATCACACATATTCATATGTTTTGTCTAACTGTTCCAGAATTTGAGACACATTAAGCTATTGATAAGCAGTAAAATGAGTTCTAGCCCATACCTTATACCAAAGGATTTCCGGTTCTCTGGTTGGTAGTAAAAAATCCTCTATGTCACGGCATGAAATTTCCTTGCTTTTGCTAAGTTCAGCTTTTTCAAAGTATTTCATCTTGGAGTTGTAGCAGAGTCCAGTGTCATTTTCACCCACTGTCAGGGAAATGGATACTTTCATACAGTAAGTGGAGTTTCTGTAACAAAGCAGAATAAATATGGTGACCTAGTGTGAACAAAAGGAAGTTTCTGCCAATGTAGTATTTAATTCACTGAGAAAAAAGGAAGGAATATCTATTTATTTAACTCATATTATACTATCTTGGCTTATTCCACAAAGTTCTCTCTTGTCATCCAACTAAATAATGCTTGGTGCTGTAAAGCCAATTGCATATTTTTATTTGCCAGAGGGAAAATAAGATTTTGTTTTATGTCCAGTTTCACTGGGAAAAATTTTCAAGAGATTTTTTTATCTATAAAAATAAAATAAATAAAGGAAGATTTAAAAAGAAAGTCAAGTCTAGGTTTATGCCAAGATTGGCAAACTCAGCAGAGAAATACAAAACTGTAACTGAACTATTATGTACAAGAAAAGGAAAGAAATAATACTTTCCCAGACTTACACTTCTGATTTTATTGGTAAGAGAAGTTATTGACTTTAGGCCGAAGACAATCTTGCATAAAAGTATGACAGAATCACTATCTTTATTCACTCATATCCATTTTGTTTCAAACCTGGAGTCCAGGTTGTCAGAAAGAAGCATTCTAGCATATTACATTTAGCATATTAAAGACAACATCTACCTGACAGACAGATTCTACAGAATTGGATCATTCGATGACAATCTCAAATCATGTTCAGAGATTTTTTTCTTTTTTGGAAGAGTTGGGATCCAAAGTTTGGTAGAGTTTCTCATTTGGCAAATGTCCAACTGCTTATTCACATAGTTGGTATGTTACTTTTATTATTACTATTTCTGTAACATGGGAAAATTTATTTAACCCCTTTGAGTCTCAGGTAAGGTGGTGGGAGAGCACTTGTTTGACTATTAAATAAAAATAAAAGTCTGATTTTCCTGTCATAGGAGTTCAGTGACGCTTGTTTGTTTTTCCGCTGTATCTTTACACATGGATCTAAAGCGCTCCTTAGTTAACTAAGATTCTTTGACTTGAAGCAGCTCCTTAATTTAGATTCTCGATTTTGGTTTATGCTAAGATGACACAATGAGAATGGCCAGAAAATAGTCTGCATAGTTATTTGGAATTAAATTGGGTACAAAACAATATTTACCAAAAAATTAGAAGATACTTTATTGAATGTAGACTCCTCCATGTCCCTGTAATACCTAGCTTAGAAATGGATCTAAAATACTTAAGAAATAAAACTGTTGAGCATTAAAGTTTGTCAATCAGAGTCCAAAAAAGCCCACGGATTTTGCTAGAGTCATAAACCATTTCTTGTCCTCAGCCTCCCAAGATCGAGAAAAAGAGATATACAAGGAAGCAATTGAAATTCAGTGTGACATGTACTACAAAAACATTTGAACTACCAAAGTGATGTCAAAAAAAGATATAAGAAGTCTTCATAAATGGTGACACTTGAATTGTTTTAAAAAATGAGTAGGAACTTGGTGATTTTAAAATGGGCTTTTTCAGGGAACAGACCACAAAAAGGCTGGAAGGCATGAAATAACATGATATTTTTAAGAAATTTCAAATAAAATGTGGCAGTAGCATAAGGTAGATATTAAAGACCTGAGACTGGAGAGGTCAAGAGGAGCCAAACTGAAAATCATGTGAGCTACTTCAAAAGGTTTAGGTTTTACGAATAATGAAAGTTAGATCATGGAATTTGTCCTGATTATAATGAGAGCAGTTGATTGGATTGCAAGAAAAACTAAATGCAGTAAGACAAACTGGAAAGAAACTATTCATTTAGGGGGAAAATGGCAGCACCAAAAATGCAATTTGCACTGACGAAAAAAGGAAGCATCACTTTCAAAATATATTTAATACATTAAATAAATTTGACTATAAAGCAGCAAAAAACCTCACAGAAGTATGCATGCTGAATGTTTTTTTCTCATTTGAGTACCGCAAATGTATAGTTAATTTTTCAGCATGGAAAATACTGAGAAAGAAGTGGCTTTAAAAGAAAAAAGGTGGGTTAAAGTTTATCTTAAACTTCACACTCCAGTGAAAAACGTACTTTTAGGGGGTTTGTAAACAACATTGCCCATGCATTGTTTATTAATTTTACTGTAATACAAAGAATAACCTGTTCATTCTTGGCTTACTGTATGCTAATTTTTTCAGAAAAATCATTATTTCAGTGAGTGATTAACTAGCTTAGGACTTATTTAAAGGTATCTTGAGAAAATATTTAGGTTTTTAGAATAATACATTTCTGTAGAACACATTAGAAGTTTGAAACTACAGAGTCCTTTCTAAGAAGTAAAACAGTACATTCTAATTCTGAGCCTTCCTCATCAATCTTTTAAATCTAATATTCTTAGATCTTTCTCTCTCCTCAAATAGCTTTCTAGTGTTCTGTGTATAGTGTAGTGTACAACACCTCTTTGTATCAGCCACCTGTCATACTTTTACACAGGCAGTGTCCTGTTAAGGGCAGGAACTTCAAGCGTCAGTTCCAGATTTTAGCTCAACCTCTTTTTATTATGGAAAACAAGGCAACACCACATGAGTTGTTAGGCTTCGATTTCCTCATATGTATGAGGAGTAAATAATTCTAAAGACCCCATAGGCAGCTGTGGTAATGAAAAATGTTGAAACATGTGAGGAGATGAGAGCTGTACCTATCTTAAGCTCTGTAAATGTTAAATCTTGTTATTAGCACTGTGTTCTTTCCTTCTCATTTCCTTCACAATTCAATTTTGTAGGACAGCCTCATGGTGTTTGTTCAGCAAGTAGATTAACAAATATCGCCATGTGATAGCTCTAGTTCTTTGGTGTGTAATTAGTGTGAAGCATACCAAACCAGAGAAGTCCTTCTATTTTTCATTCGGGATGTTTGAGTGGGCCGGATAAGAATGCCTAACGTTAAAGGGAAATACAGATTCCCCACCTCAGCCGTTGCCTCTTTCTTTTTTTGTAAATGCAACTGACCCTCAAATTTCAGAAAGTGGCTCCAAATGAGCACCCCTAGGTATTCTTAGGTTTCTGACTTTCTGGTTCTGTGAGGTGACTGCTGATTTATAACTGTCTGGTAATGTCTGGAATTCTAGACTCCCCAGGATAGCACTATTTTCAAATGACTTTCAATGTTTTAATGCTTGTTTACTGTTTCCGTTCATCAGGAGGTGATTTGAAAAGCTGAAAATAAAGTAACATCCAACCAAGGTTATAGTCCTATTTACTGAGAAAAGCTAAAAGGAAGCAAGCAACTTGCGACACATTAATAAACATAGATCCCCCTGAGGAGGATTTACGCACTCTCACAGCAAAGATGCATTCCACCATCATCAAACTTGGGGCATGACTGCTATGGCTCTATGCCGTCGGGGAAATAATGCGAAATGGGGTAAATGGGGTAAGGAGAATGCTCCTACAGGACCTATGGTACAATCATTGGCACATTTACTTGGTTTTTATTGTTTATAGCAGATGGGCTGCGTTCTAGGCAACAATTTAAATCATGCTTGCTGGTTTCAATATTGTAAAATGGCTAGCATGACGGGTCATGTGTATGCAGGGAAGACATGCATTTATAACTGAGGGCCAATATCAATGATTCTTTCCTGTAAAGAAAATATTCACGGAGATTTTTTAAAATGATCTAGTTTTTCCTTATGTGGGTGACCTGCAACACACACCATGGAAATACAATGCATTTACGAACATCTCGAGTGTTTACGTCTTTCAGGGTCCTGACATTACATCAAAGGGACTCAAATGACTGAAGAAGTCAGTGACTTGCCCAAGATCCACTATTTAATTATTGACAGAAAGGGGATTAGATCTTATATCCTTTCACTTGTATTCATTTGTTTCTTCTATGTACCACTGGAAAGAATTTGCACTGCTTATGAATGCTGTTTCTGTCTCTCTCTATATATATATGTATGTGTGTGTTTGCATGTGTTTGTATAAGATTGCACGTTCATAAATTTGATATTCATATATCTAAGATTGATTAAAGTAAAGTTACCCACTTTTAGCCCCTGTTTTTCTATTATTTTATATTTCAACATGGATGTCTTCTGAAGAAAAGCACAATATGATCTAACTTGGATTTCTTTGAAAATCTAGGTCTTTAAATTCCCTAAAATCTAATACAGGGAAAAGACAAGCAGTGGGTTTTAATGAAATGTCATGGCTTCTTCATCTCTTTCTGTTAATCTGTAAAAGTATATATTTGTAAAAGGATTACCTGCTGAAAACATTAGCTTTGAGGTCTGCCTTATACAGGAAAGTAAAATTCTAACCTTAAATCCAGTGCAAATGCATCAGGAACTAATAATTATTTTTAAACATAACTAAGAAACTAACATGTAAACCCCAAATACAATAAAAAATAATTACTCAAACTCAACAGAGTACACTGAATTTTTCTACAACATTCTCCACAGTGTGCTACTCTGAAAAACAGGACAATTCTGAATTGGGAGCTAGATTGCTTGCTTTCTTTCTTTCTTTCTTTCTTTCTTTATTTCTTTCTTTCTTTCTTTCTTTTATTTTTTTGAGACAGGGTCTCCCTATGTAGTTGAGACTGACCTGTAACTCACTATGTAGCCCAGGCTGGTCTAGAACTCACAGCGATCCTCCTGCCTCAGCCTCCCTAGTGCTGAGATTGCAGGCGTGCACCAGCATGCCTGGCTAAAATTCACTTTTAGAAGGAATACTACATTGTACAAGTAGAGATCATTTCGTAGGAATTTTGGAATGGAGGCAGGTCAGAAATAAAATTATGAGTGGGAAGGGAAATATTGAATAAATATATTAAAAGCCACACATGATGATACCTAAGTATAGCACAGTTCCATTGATTATGTAATCAATGTCCCCTGTGCATTATAATGTGTAATTTTTGGTGTCTTGATCTCCCTCTGGCAGAATTACCAGTAACATGATTGTTAAATATACCCTCTGACAGCATCACCAAACACTTGACCTACATATCATGTTAACTGTGCTTTCCTTAGGGGAAACAGTAACAGTTCCATGTTGGACACTCTTT